TTAGTTAAATCGCGGCTTCATTTCCCTTTGCTGAACAAACAAATCTACATGGCTCCGTTGACGGAGCCATGTAGTCTAGACGTACCCTTAGAGTGCTTGCATAAGTACCATCTGGCCTTGGTGACTTATTTACTGTTTAATTTAAAAAAATTGGTTCCAAAACCTCCACTAATGACCCCTCAGTCTGGGACAGTTCCTCAGATGGGCTCAGGTTTGGAAATCTCCCTCATATTCTCAGCTGTGAAGACCAATGCAAGGAATTTATTTAGTGTCGCTACAATGGCCTTATCTTCCTTGAGTGCTCCATTAGCATCTCGATCATCCAATGGGCCCTGTTGGTTGTTTAACAGGCTTCCTTCTTCTGATGTTCTTCAACTATTTTTTGCTGTTACTTTTGGATTTTTTGTCTTGTGGTTCTTCAGATTCTTTTTTGCCCTGCCTAATTATTCTTCACTAAACCGACGTGCTTTTGAGATTCTGGACCTTATTCACTTGCCCATAGTCACTCAGGCAAAACCAGGAATTGAACATACATCTCCTGAGGGATGGGACTGTGCCATACCCAAAAAGTCATCCTTCTTGTCACAGACCAGGGTGCACTTCAGTCATGACTAAGGGTGGCAAATGCTAGTCCCATTGAAGTGGTGATATTCTGGCTCCAGGTTGCTATGTAACTAGGAGATTGCTGCTCTCCTGATGCTGGCCAGCATGTCAGAGTAATGTATTTATGATGGGACCTGTTTCCCCATGTTAAAATAAACTAGTGAACAGATAACTCAGGGTCTGAGAGGGAGGGTGCCAAAACATTAGCATACATTTAGTTTTGTAGGGCAATAAAAAAAGTATATTAAAAGAAAAAAACAATTGGTTTTTTATGGTAGTGTCATTTGGGTAATAATTCAAGCCTATATTAGACTGATTCTACCTTGGGCCCTGTGAAGTGCAGTGAAAGCCCTGAATATAAATCAGTGACAGCTGCATAACAGCTCTTCCTTCCCTCTCCTCTTAGCTTTGTCATCCTAAATATCTTCATGTGTCTGATGATTTCCATGTATTAAGACTATTAAAAATATTAGTGCTGTCTCTAGCTCCTGTTCCATTCTAGTCTAGTTTCTATATCTGAGGATTTCAAAGCACTTTCCAAATAGTAACTAAGTCTCACAACAGCCCTTTAATATGGGTGTTTTATCCCATTTTACAAATGGGGAAACTGAGGCACAAGTGTGCACAAGCCTGTGTTGTTAAACATAGCCACTAATTCTGGAAGCCTCCATTTTGTGGTTCCCAAACTACATACTCTCCAGTCTGACTTTCAGTAGTTGTAATCATCTGCAAGTCTACCTCATTTCTGGGGATGCTCAGCAAATGTGAAAATCACCCCCCTTGTGGTGTGGAATTTCCAGAAGGGCTCAGGGTTGGCTTAGCTGTGTGCCAATCATCACTGAGGGAATTTGAAAATGTGTTCGCATGTGATTGGACCAAAATGTCACCAGGGTTCAGTGACAGAGTCAGGAATCCTGAATCTTTATCACTTGCTTTACCCACTAGACAGCACTTCCTAAGAATGTTTGGTTTGATTATCGGAAAACTGCAAATTAACTGTCACATTTTAAACTAAGTGCTCTAAATGTGTTTAACTACAGGATTTGCATTAATTTAAACTCAATGAGATTATGTGCTGCATGTTCCAAAATTAAAAAAAAAAATACTCAGGAACATATTTTTCTGCAGTTTAACAACTGTGTAAGAGAGATATATCTCATTATGCTACCCTAACACCTCAATAAATATGTTTTTTGTAATCAGTTGCTGTTTAACATACATTAACTCTCTTATTAAATTTCGAGAAATTCATCTAGTTGCCATAATTATTGTATGCGAATTAAATGCCAATTAATTATTTAAAATATATTTACTGAGGGTAAAAAAATGTATCAATCTGTTACAGAGCTGTTAACCTTGATAAATATTTTTAAATAATCAACTGGCATGTGAGTAACATACAGTAACTATCTCATTATACGTATATTAAATCCTGAGAGGAGACAGTTAATTTAAAGCATGACCAAATTGCTCATGACATGGTAATTAAACATTTACCCTGCATGATAGATCAGCCATGAAACCTAATCTTTCATGGTACAGCAGAAAGATTCTGAAACCATCCCTCAAATCAGAAAGATCTGGGAATTGGGAAAATGGATGAAAGTCACACTGATTGACACAGGTCAACTGATTGTCCTTTTTTTTCCTCTCAAGCCCCTCATGTGATGACAAGTACACACCACCACCCCCGTCCAAAGGGAAGAAAAAGAAAAAGAAATCCACACGTAAGAAGAGGAGGAGGTGAGTTCAGAAGGGGGAAACCCTCCACACTAGTAGCTGCTAAGATCCCAGGCAAAGGAAGACTATCTCACAGGCTAGGTGACAGTAGTGGGAGCATGTGATCCTATGGGGGAAACTAGGTTAGCTCCTAAGGAGGAAGAGAACTATTTAGCATAGTTCCAGGAGGAATAACTAGGAGTAAGGGGGTGAAATTAAGAGGAATGGAAAAGCTAATGTCAAGTTAAACTTCCTTACAGTGAAACCAATTAGGCTATGAAAACAAAACAAAACAAGGGAACACCCATTTCATGGGACTTTTAAAACTAGACTGGGCCAGACACTAGGAAATAGATCAGAGGGCACAATTCTGAGCTAGGTACCCATTTAAGGCCGTAAGCCCAGACCTGCAAAAGTAAGACCCCCTAGCTTCCAGAAATTTCAAATTGTGCCCCTGTGTTTTTTGCGTAGCCAATCTCACATTATTTTCAGGGCAGCTTCATGGTACATGTTCTGTTCTGTTAAGGTTGTTCTACCATGCCCATCACCAGGGTGACTGAATAGCTTGATCTTATCGCAGTAGGACTTCAGCCAGCAACAACCGGACAGGGCTGCGCTGCCCGGACCTAAAGTTCAGGGATAAGGTGTGTGTGAAAAATCAGTGCCAGGAGGTGGCAGTAATACAAAGCTGTCATTGCCTTGGCCTAAAATGGGAAATTCCACCCAGCATACTCAGCAGAGAAACACCTGCTGAAATAAATGCGATGTCTTCATTGATAGCAAACCAGGCAGAAATCCAGAGCTAGGGAAGATTGCTAGAGAGGAAGAGTCCCCCAATTAAAAAAAGGCCAGGGAGAGCTGTGAACAAATAAATCAGCCTTTCAGAATTTCCATTCTCTGTCTATAAATACAGCAAACCATGGCAGTGTGGTTCAGATGAAATGGCTATAAGGTGGATGATGCGATGTCTTCATTGATAGCAAACCAGGCAGAAATCCAGAGCTAGGGAAGATTGCTAGAGAGGAAGAGTCCCCCAATTAAAAAAAGGCCAGGGAGAGCTGTGAACAAATAAATCAGCCTTTCAGAATTTCCATTCTCTGTCTATAAATACAGCAAACCATGGCAGTGTGGTTCAGATGAAATGGCTATAAGGTGGATG